ATATTTTTTATTATTTTTGAGAATGGAATTTGATTGGCTCAAGCCGGCTAAGCCGTTTAAAAATTTCTTAGCCGGCTGAGCCGTGTAAGCCGGCTAACATCACTAGGTATAAGAACAAAAGGCCAGTTCGAAGAATGCCAAAAGATCATACCAAAATTCACGCGTGGGGCGGTTTTTGCGTAGAAGGTAAAACAAACCCTTTTTGTTTTAAACAAATCATGGATGCTTCATTTTATGTAGAAATACTTAGCGGGCACATTACACAAATTGAAGAAATGCTTGGGGATGAATGGAGATTTCAGCAAGACAATGACCCCAAGCATACAAGTCGCCTCGCAAGGTCTTTTCTTGCAGAAAATGTCCCGAATGTTATAAATTAGCCATCTAATAGCCCAGATTTGAACCTTATTGAAAATTTATGGAGTATCGTTAAAACAAACGTTGAGAGAAGGATGCCACGAAATTGTGAAGAATTAGAACGATTTATGGTAGAGGAATGGCAAAATATTCCGCATAATGTCCTAATCAATTTAGTAAATTCTATGCAAAATCGATGTGAGCTCGTAATACAAAAAAATGGTGAACGAATATCATATTAAATTTTTTTAATAAAATCAACTGTTTTTAAGCTTTTAAAAGAGATATTTTTCGTATCATTCAATATGACCGTTGTGTTGTAGTGACAAAATTAACAATTCCGGTTTTTTTTGAAACACGCTGTATATAGAAAGATGCTCGATCGCGAGATAAATTCCCGGAAGTTATAACAACAACGTGTGAAAAATTACAAATAAAACACGGAGAAAATAACAGAACTTATACCTTTAATAAAATTTTCAAACCGGGAAGATACTTTGCTGTCAGCATTATACATGGGATGGTAATTACCTAATTACTGTAAATACGTAATTCTTAATTAACGTAATTAATTACCACTTTCACTCTTTAAAAATGTAATTACGTAATTAATTACGGGTGACGAAACTAATTACGGATAACAACGAATTAATTATTGGAAATATCATAATACAAGTCACTCCGTTATAACGACACTTTCCATACAAACAAAAAAATGTCAGTATGACAAGAATGTCATTATAACGGGAGTTCATATAGAATATGTGAATCATTGTCATGTGATTTTGTAAAATTTTTTTTATTTCATTCATGTTTTATACATTGTATTAATTATTCTACGTATCAGTATCAGGAAATTAAAACTTACTTCGGGTCAAAATTTACCAGCATTATACGGAAGTGTTACCAGAATTTTCCATGATACTGGTCATTTTTTGATCTCGGCGTAAGTTTTAAATTTCCTTATTATTATGTTTTTTCAGAAATGATCAGAATGATTTTGATTGGTTCTCCCATTGTACTGACATGTCGTTATTAACAGAATAAATTCTATAATTCTAAAAAAAAAGTTGCCAATTTATGTCATTATACTAGTATAACGGGATAAATAATACATATGTGTCATTTAATTTCATCATTCGTAATTAATTTCGTTGTTCATAACAATAATTAATTTCGTTATTCGTAATTGATTTCGTCACGCGTAATTAATTTCGTAATAGTAAATAATTTCGTGATTACGTATTACGTTTTTGGCAAAACAATTACCATCCCATGTATAAAGACAATGCCAAAATTTGATCAGCCATGTTGGTTTTCAATATTTAAAAGGAATGCATTTAAATGATTCAACTCTGGAATTAGGCTCAAACAGAGATAGACATCGGAATATCGGTGAAGGTTATTTGGACTTGGAAGCTTTTCGGTTGATGATCGATTAAATGAAATACCATTGATATTAGAAACACCATTAGCTCATGATAAAACATTTAGCGATTGGAAAAAAGAAATTAAAGAAATTGAATTTCTGTATAGACTGGTTGGGAAAAAATCACTGATAGGTCCTTCTATATCATCATCTCTTTCTAACAACAATTACACAACAGAAAATGACAGTTCAAAAATACAAAAGCCCAATACCAATACTAACAAAATTGCTAACAAAAAAGAAAAAGAATCGGTGAAAAAGAGGAAACAATTAATGACAAATAAATAAACAATTAATCAATCAATTAATAATGCTAGAGAAATTTTACCTTCTTCCCCAAATAATTATAATTATACTTGTCAAAGCTAAACTTCTTGACTAAAATTACTAAAAGAAGAAATTTATTAAAAAAAAAGTATGTGCAATCAATATAGTGAGTGCTGGAAATTTTTGATTGCTAAATGATGCTTTTGTGTCCAGTAGTGATTATAATTATTTACTAATGTACATACGAATATAATGAGATTATGTTGCGAGTCAAAATCAAATTGTATCAAATGCAAATTCATGATTAAAATTCTGTGGTGGGATGTTTGGAGTTTATTTTCTATAATGAACATTAGTGAACGGTGCAAATCACTTAGTCCCACAACTTTCTGCGCCACAGTGGCCAATTTTGAGAAAAAATTTCCAATCAAAAATGCAATAAAAATTTTATGGTCACATGATTTTCAAAGATCATCTCACACATTTATATGATTTATTAATTAGATAATATATATTTTATTGGACACACCCGAGCTGTAATTGAATTTACACGCTCGCAGTATATATATTTAAAAAGGAAAAAAATAAGAATATCATTATTTTATGCTGTGATCCATTTATTAAATATTTACATATTAATATTATATACAAACATTAATGCTGTGGGCGAAATTAGTACATTCATCAATCGCCCATTTCGGAAGTAGATAAAGTTAATTCCGCCCAATGACTGAAATCTGATGAATTTCCAAAATGCCGAAGGCGAAATTCGGTGATTGGCTAAATCACAGTTCTGTGATAAAGAAGCTCTCTTATTGGCTGTTACTTGTGTAATAAATATATATCACCATTGCAAATAGAGTTAGCAACGAAGCTATTTTGGAGGAGAAATGAAAGTCAAAACTTAAAAACTTGTTTCTGCTTAAACAAACTAATTTTATACAAGTTTAACAATATAACAAGAGTTTACAAACTTTTTTATTGGTTATTTCATTTAATAACTTTTATAACCTTATTATTTAATACTAATCATTTTCAATGGAAAAATGTCAGCTACATTTTGAGGATCCCACATATTACATTTCATATGACCCTGGGTTAAAAAATTGAATTCACAAATCAAAGCCTATTTGCTAATAAACTATTTTGATAGTTTTCACGTTGTAATAATCAACAATCCGTAAAATTTATGATAATGAAACACACTGACAAATCAGATATTCGGATTTATTCCACCATTTCAGAAATAAATGCTAAAAATCCAAAATATTTCAGAACTAAAAATTGGATTTCACCCACAGCATTAACAAATGTTATCTAAAAAAAAGCAATTGAAAAAAATTACTGGAATTAAATAGTCACCGCAGATCTATAGTAATAGTAGATGAGAGTAAAATTCAAATTTACATATATAGTAAAAAAAAATTTTATAATCGAATGTCTTACATCCTTGCTTGAGAGGAAACAAAAATGTGGGGACGGCCATCCTATTTATATTTTTTTTTGAATTAATAAAATAGACTATTGTCTTGACCTGAGTGATGTCGTTGTGTGAGTAAAACACACAAAGCTCACTGTCACGTTTTCATTTAAAGACTTGTTTATATATTAATTAATATAATATCTATATTTGTGTTACATTCAGTATATTTATTAAAAATTATTTTGATATTTCGCATTATTTATTTGGAAAGAATTAATGGCAATAATCCCAAATGGGATAATTCACCCAGACTGGGATATTAATTAATTAAACATGTATATAAGGAACAAGAATTCGCTGTACTTTAAAAGTGACTTTGTAATAAGTTAACTTAATAGTGTGTTTTGTGTAATTGATACACTTGGGTTCTCTTAAACTTTGCTGTAGTGTACCATTTGATTTAATAAAATCTATTTGAATCTACTAAAATAAATAAACAAAGGATAAATTTATTATTTATCAAAAAAAGAAATAAAGAAACTTTAAAGTATTTAAATATGATTTGATTTTGGACTGAGATTGATGTATCAAAAAAACTTGCAACATTAAGAATCGTTAAACTTTATACATTTAATAATATTATTTTCTTTAAAAACAATGCTGTTTAAATTGACTACTGCTTGTATGATTGATTCAATAAAGAAACAAAATTAATTATTTCACAATAAAAGCTATTTGTTTGTTTGTTTATTGTTGTTTTTGATTTTGGTATTAATGCAATATTTTCAAAACTTCAATTTAAAAACCTTAATAAAATTGGCTTATTGAGGTAATTTGATAGGTAGATAATAAAACAACATCGGCTTATCATGTATATTTAGTTTATCAAGGCATTGTCTTAATGAGTTCTGAATGTACGTTTTATTCATTTTATTATTACTCATTTTATTCATTTTTATTTGTTTTATTCATTTTTATTTATTTTTATTCATTTGTTCATTTTATTGTTTTATTGTTATTATTACATGTTTTATTCATTTTATTTGTTTTATTTGTTTTATTTGCTTTATTCGTTTTATTGTTTTATTCACTTTATTCGCTTTATTCGTTTTATTGTTTTATTCACTTTATTCGCTTTATTGGTTTTATTGGTTTTATTGGTTTTATTGGTTTTATTGTTTTATTGGTTTTATTGGTTTTATTGGTTTTATTGTTTTATTGGTTTTATTGGTTTTATTGGTTTTATTCAAATTATTTGTTTTATTCAAATAAACCTTATTTAATAGAAAACCCTAACTACTACTCAAGATTATGATAATATTTTAGCACAAAAAGCTTTGAAAATATTTAAATTACAATATAAAAGAGTTATTAAATTAAGCAATAATTAACTAAAAAATAGAGATTAATTATAAAAGAATATCTGATAAATATCAGCACTTTCAACATTTACTAGTAGGCTTTTAGACTATATGATAAAAATACTAAGAATATTATTAACTTATCAGTATGCTAATACCAAAATTATTTTTTTAAAGAATAATCA